ACATATATTATGTAAACAAAAACTTTTATTTTGGATGCGATTAATTGCGATTAATCATTTGACAGCACTAAATATAATATAATATAATATAATAATGTCATTATGTTTTTGTCTGTTTGTTTGTTTTGTGTAGGTCTCTGGACTGTCAAAATGGCTGGGTGAAAGTCTGGCCCCACTGAAGAGCATCCCACCCTTCGCCATCTCTCTGATACTGTGTCTCCTGGTGGGAACATTCACAGAGTGCTCCAGCAACACAGCCACCACCACACTGTTCTTGCCCATTCTGGCCTCTATGGTGAGTACACAGCATACAGAGCCTGAAGTAGCTTAACAATACCTACCACATATTCTATGTTGCCGCGCTTTTCAAAAATGTAACTTGAGTATGGAAGTGCTAATAATATGTCACATCTATTCGCAGGCCACAACCATCGGGCTCCATCCTCTCTACGTGATGCTGCCCTGCACCATCAGCGCATCGCTGGCTTTCATGCTTCCTGTAGCCACTCCACCCAACGCCATCGCTTTCTCCTATGGCAACCTCAAAGTCGTGGATATGGTATGGCTGAACACATTTTACAAGAGTCTTTGATGTTCCAGTCAAAATACATTTTTGAGACACTGTTTATGGAAAAATGAGTGGATAATTGTATTTTCTTTTGATTTGAAGGCAAAGGCAGGCTTCATTCTCAACATCATTGGCATTCTATCCATCAACCTTGGCATCAACACATGGGGAACGGCCATGTTCAATCTAGGAACCTTTCCCTCATGGGCCAACGCCACAAATGTCACAAGCACACCATGAACATCTTCACATATAATTCTTTGGTTTTGTGAGAATGCTGAAGGGAGAGAGAGGGGGAAAAAGAAGCTAATCCAAAAAATACCATCATCAAATGGACAAAAGAGTCACAGTATGCAGAGCATGTAGCGCCCGTCCCCTCATCAATGCCCTCTGGAGCAAAAGCTCAGTTTTTCTCAAACCTTTAGACAGCGTCTTTTCAAGCACTATGTAAGTGGCTGGTAAGAATTTACAGCCTCTGTATCACTTATTTACATCTTTAAAGTCACTCAAGTGTGAGGACTTTGTAAATGTGCGTTGGCATCCATGTAGCACTTTTCCTACCCCAGTGCGGGTAAAAGGTTTTCTGGTCTTCCATTTGTGCTGGTTCACGAAAATTACATTAATTTATAGGGTCTGGACAAGACTTTTTATATTTTAGATCCCTTTTTGGATCACAGTCTATTTAATACATGGCTGAATCATAAAATCTGAATCTGTTAAGTAACACAGTTGAAGATTTTTAAATACCCCTACTTTGTAGAAGTAAATACTTGTAGGTAAAAGTCACAGCATTTCTCAGAATTTGTGCCTTTTCTCAAATAAAATTAGTTTTGTGAAGTCTTGTGGGAAATTTCATTTTACAGCACTTGCAGCAACATTGTTGGGAACTGATTTCAAGTAATCATTTCATAAAATGTCATTTATATTATTGAAGAAAATTGCTATTACAAGGTAAATATCAGGACCGTATGTGTATGTTTTACAGATTTTTTTTTAATATATTTTTTAACTCTTACATTACTGATCAAAAGTTTAGGGTTTTTGAAAGAATATGATTAGCAAGGCTGCATTTATTTTATTAAAAATTTAATATTGTGAATGTTAAAATAACGGTTTTCTATTTTAGTATATTTATTATTTCTGTGATGGCAAAGCTGAATTTTCAGCAGACGTTATTTCAGTCTTCAGTGTCACATGATCACAACATTAATATACCAATTTGATGCATAATATATTATTACAAATATTGTAGTTGTGCTGTTTAATATTTTTGTGGAAACCATGATGCACTTTTTCGGGGGGGATTCTTTGAAGGATACAAATTCTAAAAGAACAGCATTTTTTTTGGAAATAGTATATATTTTTTTTTATTCAAAAAACATTTCTTGTAAAATAAAAGTATTAATGTCTTCCTAAAAAAAATGACTGAACCCATTTTTTAACAGTAATGTAAATAATGTGCTAAGTGCTAAGCACTAAATGAAAAATCTGAAATAAATGTTCCTAAGAAAATAAAGTGCTGTGGAAAAAAAAAAGACAACTTCAATCATTTAAAAAAAAAAATTCAACATATACATTTATTTCTCTTTTATTCCAAACTGGCGATTGAACTGTTCTCCCCCCTCAAAACCATTTACAATAAATCACAATCCTAAATAAAGCACATATTACATCTGACTAGAAACATTTTTCAAGTTATTCCTCCTTTTAAACGCTTGTAGAAGTCTTTGAAAGCCTCCTTTTTATTCAGAAACCAAAAACAGGTAAATCATTCTCCTAAATGCACTTTTTGCACTATGAATACAAGGATCATAGATACAGCACATCCTTGGATAAGATGTTAAATCTAACCTCTGCTATGTGCACTAAACAGCCATGGCTTACTGGAATGTGTGAGAAAGGGAATGCTAGATGGAGAGATGAGAAGAGACGCCATCTCTTGATCTCTTTGAACTACTGTTCTTTAGACAGCTCAGAACGGCTATTTCTTTCCTTTTGTTTTGTCTGAAGACAAAAAGAAACCACACAAACCAGACGTTTGAAATGTCAAGGCTTATAACGTGCGCTGTGTTCCCTTTTCAGTAGGCGTTTTTTTACAATCTCGTTTTATCTACACAACCTCTCATTTGGAACGTGAATTACGTACAATCAGAAACTTGACGCAGACCTTTGAATGCAAAAGTTATGCATTTTCATGAATATTTGAACTGATTTGACTTCATTTTTTGCTTGCTTTTTGTTTTTATCCACACAAATAATCGACATCTCAAAACTGAAAGCTTGTTCACGTATCAAAATATATCTAATGCAACACAAATCTATCAATTATGTCAAGGTCTCAACATAAAATCATATCATATTCTATTTAGGATGAAAAGTCCAGATATCAAGAAATATGATGTAGCTTATTCTGACAGGGAAAGAAATACTCATCAACATCAACAATATAGAATGGTCTTAGTGGTGTTAAACACCCCCCTCACACACACACACACACACACACACACACACACACACACAATGAATAGTAAAACCTAAGTACCATTCACATTACAGTGCCTTGCCCATACAAAACATGGGACTGAAGGGAATTTGCTCATCATTGGGGTATGTTACAAAATAAACACTTTAATATCTATATTTGCTGATGTGAACGATGGCAGTGTGAAATCAGAATAGGATATGTATGCATTGGATGAGACCTTACGATACGACTCTCTAGATCTCAAACACAGGCATGGCGCATCGTCTATGACACTGATTCAAGGAGGGTGTGGCTGCTGGACAAAGACATGTGATTGGTTCTTAGGTCTGTCAGTCAAACTCTCTGCCTCAGTCCCCTCCCACCTCTGTCCTAAGGGCCTCCGCTGTACGAATAATCTGCTTTGTTTTGCATGACCAGCTTGTTGTCCACAAAGTAGAAGCTGTCAGACTGCGTCTCGTAAGGATGGAGGATCATCTCCCGTACTGAAATAAAGAGAAAACACATAAAGTGATACACAAACAACAATTAAGCTTTTTAAAAGCTACAGGATTTTCCTTTCATAGATGCTGGTAGGTCAATGACATGTTCGTTTCTTTCTGGGTCTATTACTACATTCAAAAATACATTAAAAATGCAATATATTAATTCAGTGCCTTCAATATATCTCTTTCTCTTAATGTATTTTTGTATATATTAATAGACCATTATATGAGGAACTTGCTTTGAATATCTTGCATTTTTTGTGCTATATTCATTATTGGGTTAAAAAGGGGAAAATAAATAAATAAAGGACCTTATTAAAAAAATTAAAAAAAAAATCCTGATATAAACAACGCAATAAAAATGTTAAGTATTCAATTCATAATTATCCTATTATGATTTAATTTAGTGAAGCAGTTTTGTTAAAATATTAATCTATATATATTTTAAATTGTCCACCAAATTAATGTTGTGCAACCAACATGCAGGTACAGTACAAGACCAAACTATCTTTTTGTATGTTGTTTATAAAGACAGGAAGAGAATTCAAATAAACTTCTTGCATTTCCATCAGATGGGGTCAGTAAGATAAAAAAAAATAAAAGAAATTAATACTTTACTCAAAAGTAACAGTAAAAATATTTATAATGTTACAAAAGATTTCTATTTCAAATAAATGCTGTTCTTAAATTTAAATTAAACTTAAATAAAATTTATGTTCAAAGAATCCTGAAAAAACATGATTTTCAAGCAGCAAAACTTTTTCAACATTGATAAGGAATGTTACTCGAACCTCAAATATTAGAATGATTTCCGAAGGATCACGTGACGCTGAAGACTGGAGTAATAATGCTGAAAATTCAGCTTTGCATCACAGGAATAATTTTTGACAATATTACGTTTTTGTTGCATTTTTGATCAAATAAATGCAACCTTTTTAATTAGAGGCTTCTATCAAAAACAAAAAAGTCCAACCCCTCAAAGGGTTAGTTCACCCAAAAATGAAAATTCTGTCATTAATTACTCACCCTCATGTTGTTCCAAACCCGTAAGACCTTCGTTCATCTTCGGAACACAAATTAAGATATTTTTGATTAATTCTGAGAGCTCTCTGACTCTCCATAGACAGCAAGGTAACTACCACGTTCAAGGTCCAGAAAAGTACCAAGATGATCGACACTTGTAGACGCGCGTTCACGACAGTATCATGACGCGAGCGTGTGGCGGCGCTGACCCAGATCCGGCGTAATGATGTCATCACACCGGATCTGGGTCAGCGCCGGCGCCGCCACACGCTCACGTCATGGTACTGTCGTGAACTTGTGACCAAAGTGACGCAGTAGAGACGAAAATGTGGAATAAAGTTGTTATTTTTGTTTTCTGTGCGCAAAAACAACACGAGGGTGAGTAATTAATGACAGAATATTCATTTTTGGGTGAACTAGCCCTTTAACAACCGACTTTTGAGCGGTATAGCTCATGGTCTTTACTGATTTTTATTGCCATACCAGCATCTATAGCTATTTTCATGGCAAGATCAATGTATTTTAAAAGAAACAATAGTAACAAAGAAGTAATGAAAAACAACAATTGACAACCAACTCGCATCAATATAGTCAAATGTTGCCAAGTGACATTTAAAGCAGTATATTCTAACAAAATATGCGGTCCCACTTTATATTAGGTGGCCTTAGCTACTATGTATTGACATCAAAAAATAAGTACAATGTACTTATTGTGTTCATACTGTATGGCAAAACACTTTTGCTGCTATCGAGGTGGGATACGGGTAAGGCTAGGGACAGGTTTGGTGGTATGGGTAGGTTTAAAGGTGGGTTAAGGTGTAAGGAATGGGTCAACAGTGTAATGACAGAAATTCATTACAGATGTAATTAGATGCAGGTATTTTTAAAAATATAAGTACAATGTAAAAACATGCATGTACACAATAAGTGCATTGTATCAAATGATTCATTTAAATGCAAGGGCATAGTAGTTAAGGAAACCTAATATAAAGTTGGATCAAATATGCTTTATACACAGAGGGGTCTGACAAAAATTGGTGATAAATTGCCTTTCAGTAAAAACAAATGAGTACGTTTGGCATAACCAATATGGCACCTTGTGTAAACTGCCTGTTGAGGTCCAGAAAATTAGCGAAAAAACAAACAAACTTTCATGTATGACTGGATTGACTTCATGTAACTTATTAACTCCGTTGTCCCATTCAATTTGAACGGTGTATGTCAGCACTGAGATACAGACAAACAATCAGCATAATTTTGCAATAGTATCTGCAGGGTTATATCTGACAGTTTACAATCTTCATGGCACTTACTGAGATCCTCTGAGAGCGGTGGGAACTCATAGATGTGCTCACAGGTGTTCTTGCTGCTCGGGATGCAGAAGCCAAACTCAAAGTCGAAGCTCTTCAGCAGCTGTTCACGGAAATAGTGCCTCTCGATCATCCGGAAGTTATTGATGGGGATGTCTCCTACTGTGAATTCAACACTAAAAACACAGAAACAAGGCAGGGAAGATATTCAGTTGACAGTTTTAGTTCTTCAGTATTCATTTCACTCTTCACTTGGGTTTGCAGTTAACTACACCCTTTACATTTCCAACAACTGTTCGGCATTCCATTCCTCAATCAATGTATTGTGTGAACCGGATTCATTATTTATAATGAGTAGCTTACTGCATCTACTTCTATATTCTGCCCTTTAGCATGATGACGAGATTCCTTCAATAGGTTTAATTTAGAGAAATGATTTATGCTCGCTTTGTTTTGATTATTATATCTGACCTCAATAAGCATGCAACTGTTGTTCTGGAATATGAGACAGCTCCACTAATGAATATCAGCTGTCTGTCCTTTTATGTGCTACTGTGCTTATTTTCTAAATATGTAATCTCTTTGCAAGAGAGGACGATATGATAAGACAGCAGGACTACAGTGATGATCTAATCATGCAAATGCTTAATAATAACCTGCATGGGCTAATTTTTAATCATTATTTTTTAGGATTCTGTAGTGTATACACTGACTAGTTTTATGAACTGTACTTACGTGGCTCCTACTTGACGTAGCCGTAAAAAAGCTGGTGTAAACTGATAACGTACAAACCGGCCAGCATTTGGATCAACATCTCTTTTATCCCCTCCTTTATCTTAAAAAAAACAAACAAACAAAAAAAAACATTACAATCAGAATCAAAATAGTAAAATAATTCATCATTGCAAGTGATGACAATTGAGGAGTCAAACGTCTTCCTGGGCTTCACTTAAACTTATTAAAAGGACTAAAACAACAAAGCAGAGACAACATACATTTCCATTCTTCCTGTTCCTCATTGAAGTTATGGACAGCTGTTTTCCACAGCAAATACACATCACACACATTCAGTGCAGTTTCTCCATGAATTACATCCCAGTTCAGTCCAGTACAATAGTTTGTTCACACAGTGTTTCTGTTCATATTCAAGCACAGCCATGATGACAATACCTGAGCAGTTTCAGGACAGTTCCACCTAGTGGTCAGAAAATTATAATGGAGTGTTTACACCAAGTGCAAATAGCCCGCCTTTTTGGCAGAGGCTATTTACACTAACTCCGCCCACCAACGTGTTATTGGGCTACTCAACATCACAAAAGACGGTTGTCAACATATTTGCCAAGTCCGCGTATTATACGCGACTTTGGGCTTCTTTTTTAAAAAAGTTGCTTTGAAAAAATCCCAGGTCGCGGGGTTGCGGTTTTTTGGGCTTATTTTAAAAAATATGGTTGCTTGTTAGGGAAATCTGACAAGCAACTTCGTTTCTTTATTTATGTTCACCGTATTCTCCAATGCATTGAATGACACTCTGTCTGCTCGCAGTTAATAGCCAACCAGTGCAATAATATAAGTGCTCCAGCGTAATTTGCCATAATACTGATGATAATAAATCATCAAAAAAATATTGGGCTTGTTTTTGAAGCAGCGGTTGCTTATTTGTCTCGCGAGAGTTGGCAACAGTGGTTGTTAATCGTCAGCTTCAATGGCGCAGATGATAAAGCATGTGTCATACTCCTTTTGACGCGTTCGAATCAGCCTTTTGGCAAACTTTTTTTCCCCCTTTTCAAATTTCAAATCACATCAGAAAAGCATTTATTTTTAATAAAAATGAAGGAAATAATCAAAAAGTTGAGAATAAAGTATCGGGTAGGGTTAGGGAGGGCATTTGTCCCAATAAGGTGGCATCCATTTAATAATTTGAATTAAAATTAAAATTTACACTCAAGTTATTATTGCATACTGGTTTATAATGTATTACATTATACTGAGGTGCAGATAATTGCCACTATTTGCAATAAGTAGTATAAATGGCAGAAAATCCTGCTATTTTAACAGTGTAAATAGCATCTATCGCTATTTACACTTAGTGCAAATAGCCACTGCCAAATTATTATTAGCTCTCTATAACTCTGGAAATCCTTGTAGGTGGTTAAAATAGTTTAATTTTCTCAAAACATTGAACTGCTCTGCCTAATATTATGTTTGTGGAATCATCAGATTCTTCAGACATGCTCATTTTTCTCTTCAGACTGCAGTTGATTTGCTTGCCTGTAATTGCTGCTTGCTTGCAACTATATTTAAAAAAAGAGCCACGAATAATGAAAGTGAATAATGAAACTGGAAACAGCCCTGGAATATTCTTTATAACATGCAAGTCAAAAGCCAAAAGGCTAGTTATTACATAAATGGTAACCAGTGTTAGGCAGTAACTAGTTACTAGTAACTTAGTTACTGTAATATTACTTTTTGCAGTAACTAGTAGTGTAACTAATTACTAATAAGATTATTAGTAAAACTAATTCAGACATCAGAAGACTACAGAGAACGGTTCGGACTGCTGAAAGGATTATTGGTGCCCCCCTGCCTACCCTCCAAGAACTGTATACATCCAGAGTGAGGAAAAGGGCTCAGAAAATCACTCTGGATCCATCACATCCAAGCCATCTCCTTTTTGAACTTTTTCATAATTTTCATGACTCGCACATGCATGTGAAGTCCCCAGTGCAGCAGGCAAGCTTGGAATATGGAAAAGCTTACATTCAGCAGATAGAAATATTGCATTATATTGATTTTGTTAGGAAAAAAGATGATCTGAACACTGTTGTGTAAGTTGTGGCTTTACTTTACTCTGGCATTACATCCCACCCACACCCCTCTGATCAGCATGTGGTACATTATATTACTATAATTAAAAATCTTTTTGGAAAATTAAACCGTTTCTTACAAACTTATGTGATTTGATAAAATACATATGGAAATATAATCGTATATGGGTAACGGAGAAATTACAATAGCTTCAAGCTGTAGCACATGACAATTAATGAGATTAATACAACACTTCTACTTGAATGTCACTATCAATTACTATTGAGTGTTTGTAATAACTTGAAAAAGTAATGTAACTAGTAGTGTAACTAATTACTGTTGCCAGAAAGTAATAAGTAAAGTAACAATATTACTTTTTAAAGGAGTAACTAGTAATGAGTAATATATTACATTCTTTGAGTAACTAGCCCAACACTGATGGTAACCTCATGCTAACAAACACCTTTTTAGGGGCAAAAGATATCTGATATGCCAGCATATCACATATCACTGCTGCGCCTGATTATTAATTGATTTTATCTGTAACCACACACTCAAACTTTTCTTTGCCATGTCAAATGTGAAGCCCGTAATTTTGTTGTCTAAAAGGACTGTTAAGCAGTAGCCTATTAAATATACAGTCAAACCAAAAATTATTGATTTTTTTTTTTTACGAGTGGGTGCAGGACACTATAGTTCATTTATATAAGTGGGGATAGCAAAATAAAGTAAACTGTGACATATACCCAAAAATTCTTCATACAGTGGACTACCAGTAAAACAAGTAAAAAAAATCATTCAGACACTTTGACCTGACCATGTTTTGCTTACACGTTTTTTCTTTAATTGCTAATGCGACTGACCGATACCACAGACTGAACAAAACTAAGCATTGCTTGGTAACTGGTTGACCTAAATTGGTATTATCTAATTGTGTAATTAAATTTAACAGCTGGCAGCTATTCAACCTAATTAATTACATATCTTTCTGTCAAAGTTATCTGACATTATCAAGATGAATTTGTTCTGACACAGTTTAACTCTGAGTCCATCATATTTTATTACCATTTTCTAAACTATAGTGAATAAACTGTGATAATGTGAGAAATGTTGAAGGTGTCTGAATACATTTTGGTTTGACTGTAACTTGTTCAACATGACCCAAAGCAATAAGTAGATGTAATAAAATGTACCTTGTGTAACAAAGGTTTGGGTACACACACACACAGAGAGAGAGAGAGCGTAAATTGATTATAACCGTGTCAATAACTGCGTATTTATGGATGTAACATTTATATTAGTAGCAAGTCCAATACAAATCTAAAAGAGAGTGTGCCTGACTTGGTAATGTTAGTTAGATCCCCACGAGATCCAATAACTCTCCATGCCGCTGATCACATGACTGGAACCAGTAACCTGCTGGAAGTGGCCGCTCACACTCACCTGTGGCTGGTGGTTTGGTGATCTCAAACAGTACTGTTCCTGTCTCCATATCCCTGATCTTGAACCGTGTGAAGTCAATATTGTATACATTGTCTTCTGGACCACACAGATAGTCTGCAGAAAAGAAAAAAAAAAACATATTTAGACTTTACTAATTTAACTCTACAAATTAAGTGATCCTGCTCCCTACAAGCATTATATAAATAAAAGAGTCAATGTTGTAATGATTACATCAGCAGTTCAAGTTCGTATCTTAACTATTTGTATTGATACAGAGAGCCGATAGCCTCATGGGCTCCTTATGGAGCAGTTGTGTTTCTGGTGTTTCTCTCTTGTGAAGTCTCTATTGTCAATGAAATAAAGGTAAAAATGCCAAAAATAAATCTTAACCAAACCAAAACAAAACAAAAGAAAGAAAAACAAAATACAAAAAAGAAAAAAGAAAAGAAAATTACTGCAAGAATTATTCAAAAATCACAATTGGAATTATTTGGACAAATCTTGCCATTTTCACTGTGTCTGTCACGCGACTCTGTTGCCCTTTCGGGCTTGAACTGATGGTAAAACTAACGACATTATTAACTGTCTTGATATTTACTTTGAAAGCTGAAGCTCGCGAGTATGGTAAGGGACTTTTACATTTCCGACGCATGCTTGTGGTGTTCGGTCAATCACAATGCACTGGGTCAGCTGGCCAATCAGAGCAGACTGCGCTTGTCAAAGGAGGGGGCTTT